CTATGAGTCAGACATTACTGTACCAGGTGCTGGGGATACAAGCCCGGTAGGAATGTTCTCTGCCGTCGGTAGGTCTAGAGTCAAGAAGAAGAGTCTGGTCAGCCAAATGTCAGGCACATGGTCAGTGAGTTATAATGGGGGTGGGGGTGAGGGGCATCCAATTCAGTCTCGGGAGAAAAAAGACAATAGGCAAGGACTTAGGGACAGAGCTTATATTCTCCTCCAAATATCAAACGGATGAGTTTTTAAAAACTGCTAAAATCCGTGATTCGCAACAATGTTTTAAAAATAAACAAGTTGGCCACTGCTGTAGAATTCTGGTGAATCAACAGGTTAGCTTGAAAACTGGTAAACAAGGGAATCTTATTTGGCCTTTCCTAAATGAACTGTCATACTGGGAACCAAACAACAGATGAGGGGAAGTATATCTCTAAACAAGATTATCAGCTCAGAAATGAAGGACAGAATATCACAACCCCTAATAACCTAAAATAATTAGACCGAGTATCAATCGCTGCAATCACAAGGAGACACCCAATTATTGCTTTCTTCTTGATGTTAATAGTTGACCCTCCCCCCTCGACACACTTTTGAACTAAAATGAATATACCTGATCAAATATCTAAAGCAGTGTTGTCCAATTGAACTTTCTGCATTGATAGAAATGTTCTAATCTGTTCTGTCCAATACAGTAAGCCACTGGTCACACATGGTCACTGGGCACCTGAAATGTGGCTTGTGCAACTGAGGAACTTAATTTTTAATTTTGCTTGGTTTAAATTTAAATAGTCACATGTAATTTTGGCTGCCGTAGTGGATAGTGCAGCTGCAGAACCAACTACCCATTTAGAGAAAACACAGAAGATCAAGGAGCATTAGATTCTGATGTGATGCATTCCTCAAAATCCAGATTGTTAGCAACTCTCCAGGCAAAATTACTCATCTCTTTAATAATTAGCTTGTAAGGACACATAAAAGAGATAGAGGGAACATGGACAAATTACAAGAGACCTGAAAGACATGTCAATCAATTACAATATTAGACACTGTGTGGACCTGATTCAGCAAACTGAAAAAAAAAAAAAAACAAATTTACAAGACGATTAGCAATGTGAACATCGCTGTGAATGTATGATCAGGTATTTTGGCCTTTACCTATTACAGGCACATTCTGAGGTATTTATGGTTGCAATAATATGATAACTGAGATGTACCTCAAAATCATGTGTCTGGGATTGGGTGCCGGGTGGATGGGCAGGAACAGCCACGGTTTAAATGGTTGTTGGGGCTGAGTGATAAGTGACGGAAAGAAAGAAAAAAAAGACTACTGCATGTTCCTATGTCTGGCATGACTCAAAGACCTGGACTACAGAGCCAGGTAGAAGACCAAAACTATTTTAGAAGGAATTCTATACTCAGTTCCTTTTGAAGCATCCTTGGAAGAGGCCAAAGGAAGAGAATAGAAGGGGGAAAAGGGAGAAGATAGATTCACCTGCTACCCTGTACTGGGGTCCTGCCAGTCAGGAAGGAAAAAATATCCATCAACTACCTAATTTAACTTCAGAGTTAGTTTCTAATAAATCTTCAAAGGCAGGGCAATGGTGATCAGATTTTCTGGGGGGGGCTCTACCCCACACAGCTGGAGTCCTGCAAATGGTACCAACACAAGAAAGGCTTAGAGCCACCTGGACCTGTCACTACTGCCTTCTTAGATACACACAATCTCTCCACCTCAATCTGTTTGGAAAATTACGGAGTTCTCAGGAGTAAAGAGGTGATTTTGCAAACTGCCCTGAGGCAGTCAAAAGGCAGATAGGCTGGAAAAGGTCAGTTTCCTAACCAGCACCTACAACTCCTAGATCCACTCACCAGCACAGCCAGATTGGCAAATCCCGTGTCCATAGGCAACAACATATTGGACATTACGGAAACCTGCCATACATCACTGTTAGCTAATTAATTCCCTCCTGGCGGTTTACACATGCACAGAAGTGCGAGACACTCTGCACCCCTTATTTCACCTAACCAACCCTTCTGAGAGGTCAGTTCCATTGCTTTTCCATGCAACAGGTCCAGGAACTAAGACTCGGGACAGATAATGTATCCCTAACACAGCTGGGAGAATGGACCCAACTGAGGTCCTCCTTCTTCAAACCTTTCCAGACCCTGTTCTGCCTATGAAGGGGCAGCCACACCTCTTGGCTTAGCCCCTTCACCATCTTGTCCTGTCCTAGCTCCCCACCTTTCACACTTCCCTCTAACTCCAGCAGGTGGATTTTCCATCTTCAGACACCAGAGTTTGAAGTCCTTTACTTACTTAACCTTTGGGCAAAGCCTGCCTCTCCCCCCTTCTCCACTGCCCTCAAATCTACACCAAGAAATCTTCCCTAGCTCATAATTTATTACATCTTTGTGTGTGCTTCAGCATCCATCCCCTTTGCTGTAACAGAGTTAATAATTAATATTTGTGTCTCCCCACCAAGCCGGAAAATTCTAGCTAGAGTTAATGAGCACCTACTACCTTCCCTTCTTCATTCATTTATTATGTTCACCACTCTATGAGGTAGAGGTAGAGGTGTCATTATTATTCCCATTTCACAGACAAGGAAATTGAGGCCCAGCGGGATTAGCAACTTGCCCAAGGTCATGCAGCTAAATGACAAAGCCAGAGCCTAGGGGCTTAACTGCTACAGTCAAATGATTCTAGACCGCCAGGCTGGGAACGTTATCTCCTTGAACACAGCAGATGCTCCAGAATAGTTAGATGGGAGGATGCCTCTCTCTGGGGGGTCACTGGCTCAAACCTGCTCCTCCCCTAGTCCTCTGAACTAACAGCTCAGTGAGTGTCTTGAAGTCATTCCAACTTAGTCATTATGCATCAATATATGGGCCTCATCCTGGAGTGGCATTCCTTTTCTTCCAGTTAAGAAACTAATATTCTTTTCTTAAGGTTGTATTTATTTATTTGACAGAGAGAGAAAGAGAGAGAGAGAGAGAGAGAGAGAAGGCGAGAAAACAAGCAGAGGGAGCTGCAGGTAGAGAGAGCAAACTCTCCACTAGGCAGGGAGCCCAGTGCAGGGCTCCATCCCAGGACCCGAGGATCACAACCCGGGCAGTAAGCCACCCAGGAGCCTCAAGAAACTAATTCTTGAAAACAGCAGGTTTTGTATAGAACTCTAAAATTACACAATGTCACAGGCAATTTGGACAATCATTTGAAAACAGCCAATACCATAGATGATAATTCTGGAAGCTTGGAGCATCTTAATACCAAGATGTCTCCTATTTATGGATGAAGGCTGAGAGGGAAAAGGAATCTAAACATCCTCTGTGAACAAAATAAAACTTCTCCGGAAGCTGTGCTAATAGGGTCACAGAGCAAAGCCCCCCCCCCCACCCCTGGTCCTGGGGGCAGCATGTAGGCAAGATCCTAGAAATAAGATCGTGGTTTATTTATTCCTTTAATCCAGGGCTCCAATGGCACTGTTTGCCTGGGACGAGAGAGCTTCTGAAACGTTAATTAAGGGACTGGATCTTTCTCCCCTGCCGCTTTCTTCCCGGGGTAATCTGGGAAGTTGGGGGACGGAGGAGCAAAACGACTAACAGTCAATCCCAAAACAACGTTGCAATTGTCCTTCCAGCCTGGTGATAAATATGCAAGTGGGACACTTTGTAGAATTTCCTGGAGGGGAGAGCTACCAGCCTCGGGCAAACTGTCCCCTCCCACTTAACCCCATCTGGCCCAGAAAAGCCTCAGGCCAGCTGACTTTGAACCTCAGCAGCACACTTAACACCAAGCACCGCGCGCCGCAGCAACCTTTAAAGAGGTCTTTCCTGGGGATTTCTGCTCCAGCCTTTAGCCTCAATTCATAACCAAATGCACCTTTAGCCCGCCCCCAAGCCAAACCCCAGGAACCAGGAATATGCATAGGGAGGGATAGCCTCGCCCAGGAAAAGAAACCTCGTTTTACCCAATCCACAGCAAACACCAGAGTTCCTCCACCCCACCCCCCCGCCCCCCGCCCCGGCAGCAGGGCTCCAGGGCCGTCCGGGCGCGCGCGGGAATGATCGCCCCCCCACCCAGGGCCTGGAGCCCGCAGAGTCCCGCCAGGCTAGGAAATGGGATCATGTGATTCCTAAAACACCACTCCCTGGCTCCAGCTGACTACATCAGTGGAATGGGATTCCTTAATCTTGCGGGTAGCGGATTCATTTGAGCAGACGAACATGGAAGTTCTCCCCAGTAAAGCCAGGTGATGTCCCGATAAGATGTCGCCTACAATTCTAGAAGGGGCGAGGTGGGGGGGTACGAAAGAATGATAGTGGAGGGCAACAAACACTGCAGCCTGGGGCGGAGCACTGAGGCAGTTGCAGTTGAACCCCTTTATCCATCAATTCACTTCAAGGAGTCGAGAGACGTGACAAATTCAAAGTGCCCCGCACAGACCTCCAGTGTAACGGGCGCTCCGTGCTCGTCAGTGGGGGCAGCTGTTACGGGGTGGGGGGGGGGTCCACCGTGTGCCGAGCTGCCGCCACTGTCTCCAGAACGCCAGGAAGTGTGTGAAACTGACTGCACCGAGCGCTGGGAAAGGCGCCGCAGGGAACGGAATCCCGGAGAGCCTGGTCCCCCCCCCCCGCACCCGGGAACCCCGACGGCCTGGTGATTCTTCCGGGCCCGCACACAGAACAGGGGCTGCCGGAGGCAGGAAGCCGGGCCCGGGGCTTCGGGGCAGTAGCAGAGGCCACGCCGGCTCCGGAGGCGGCCTCCAGGGCTCAGCGGCGCGGGCCGCGGGCCACCCAGCGGGCGAGAGGAGGCGCGGAGCCGCCCCCCCGAGACCCAGAAGCAGGTGCAGGAGCGGCGCGGAGGGTGCGGTGCGCTCGGCGCCCGGGTGCGCGGGTGGCCGGTGCGCGGGCGGCGCGGCGGGGAGGGGCGCGGGCTCCGGGAGCCCGACGCCAGGGCGTGGCGCGAGGTGGCGGCGGGGGCAGAGTCGACACCGTACCTTGATTTTCGACCTGGCGCCCGGGCGCTGCGTCGCCGCCAGGTGTCCGCCGGGGCCCTCGGCGTCGCCGGGTTCGGGGATTTCGCGCTCCGGGGCGCGCGGGGACGAGCTGCTCTCTGCGCCTCCAGGCTCCCCCGCGCTGCTGCTGCCGCCGCCGCTGCTGCTGCCGCCGTCGCTGCGGCAGTCCTCGGGGGGGTCGTGGAGCAGACGGCCCAGGCCCACTGCGGAGGGAGGGGCGGCGCCCCGACAGACACGCGGCGTCAGGCCCGGGCGTCCGCGGCAGTTTGACCTGCGGGCGGTGCTGCCGCTGCCGCCGCCGCCGCCGCCCCGCCCCGCCCTGGACCTGGGCACCCGGCCAAGTGGGCAACACGCGCGAGTGGGCGAGCGAATCCCGGCTCGGCCTCCGGGGCGGGAGGGGCGGCCCCTCGGTCCCAGTCCCCGCGCCCACCAGGAACCCGCGCGCCAAGTTTCCTCTCCCCGGGCTGGGGGGTCGGGGTCTGACCTCAACCCACCTAGCCCGCGGGCCTGGCGGACCCTGGAGCACCCCCGTGAGGACGTGGGACTGAGTAGCCCCCAACTGGCCTTCAGTCTCCCCTCCTGGGCCACCTGGGCCACCTGGGCCCGCGCGGCAGTCAACGGTCCCGCCGCCGGGCAATTACGGGCGCCCACTAGGGGGAAGGGGGCGCAGGGCGTCGCAGGTTCTCCAGCCTCTCACTCGGTCTTCCCGCGCCCGGGACCTCCCCCACCCCAAAAGAGGGGGCATGCGGTGGGGAGCCCAGCCCTCGCCGAGGAGCCGGGGGGACCCGGCGCCCCCTGCCCCCACCCCGGGAGTCCCGCGCCCGGGCCCGGCCCCCGCGCGGCGCTCACCTGGGATGTAGGTGTCGGCCCTTTCCTCGTCTGGGAGCTCATCCCAGCTGCGGACGGAGACCCCCGGGCTCCTCCTCTTCACCAGGAAGACTTTGGGCATCGTGCGGCCCCCTCCTCCCCTGCTCCCCGCTACAGGCTGCGGCGGGGGCTCGGTCCCCGGCTCCCGGCGGCCAGAGCCCACCTTCCCGCCTCGCTGGCCCTCTCCCTCCAGCCCCCGCCGCGCCGCGGCCCAGGCCTCTCCCCCGCGCGCCCGGCGACTCCCAGCCTCCAGGCTCGGCGACACCTATGCCTTAAATCGCGGGTGAGACCACGCCGAGGAAAAAGTTTCATAAGGTGGAATAGAAAAGGCACCAGGAAACTTGGGAGTGAGCATGCGCCCTGCAACATAACGGTGTCAACAAGCTCGCTACCTGTCCGACCGGTTCCGGCGGCCGGGGCTGCCTGTTCCAGCCCTTCCTTAGGCATGAATGTTTGCAAAAGAATTTAACGTCTGATTCTCTCCCCCCTCCCCTTTTAAAAAGGGAAGAACGTTTTTTTAAATCAGCCTCTAGCTCCGGTCCCCCTCACATGAACCTCAGGGCAAATTCTTAGAGGGGAGTCCCCAGGCCCGCCTCCCGGGGCTTCCATCCGAAGAGTTGGAGCTTCCTGCCACCCCCCCTCCCCGCCCCCAGGTGGATTTGTCTCCGACAGGCAATCAAGAAAATGGCTCAGTCCCTCCGGACTTGGTAGATGGTTTTCCCCGGCTAGTTGAAAGCTCGGCGGGCGGAAGGTGGAGGCGGCAGAGACTCTCCAGGACTCTGATCTGGCAAAGGGGGGGGGGATTTGGGGGCTTCAGTTTACCATCATTTACAACACCCCCCCAAATAAACACAATAGTAATAAGATTTAAAGTCCGGCAGCTTTAGAACACGTCGTTATTGCCGATTTGTGCCATACGATCTAGGAAAACCAAGTCGGCTTGTTCTGCTAAAGCAGCTGCCACCCCAAGACCTACCACCCCAAGAGCCCCACCAACCCCCAAATAAACACACAATGGAAACAAAAGCCAAGGGCATGTTATACAAACGCGGCTTCGTCACAAATCTCTCACCCTTGCCCCCTCCCATTAGCTAGGGTCTCCCCCCTAACCGCCCGCTCCCCAAATCCCGAGGCTGGGAATCCGTTTCCCAATAAAGTGAAGATGGGCTGCTACTGGGGAGGTGGCTGCAGAGCTTTCTATTTATTTTTGGTTTTGGCTTTTCCTCTCTGTCTTTATACCTGGAGGGGGAGTTGGGAGAGAAGGACGAGGAGTTGGTAAGAGAAAGATGCCAAGTTTCCCAGAGCCGCAGAGCCGGCTCGTGGGGCGCGCGCGGTCCCTCTCGGCCCCTGCTCGGGTGCGCCCGGGGACGCGCAGCAGTGCCCCCACCGTGGCGGGGGGCGCACCCCTCCGTCTCGTGCGGCCTCCGGGGACTGCGGGGCGCGTCCGGCCCGGAGTTCCCCGGCGCCCGCGGCTCGCCCTGCGGCGGGACTCACCTGTCTGTAACCTGACCCGCCGCGCGCCCAGCCCACAGGGCCGAGGAATCGACACAGCGGTTCGCCCGGTCCTCTTCCGCCCTGGAATGGCCCGTGGGGACACAGCAGCCTGGTAACGGATTTCTCGGCTCAGCTCAGTCCTCTCCCCGCGCGCGGAGAGGGGGCGCAGCTCTCCTGGGTCTGAGAAGGGAAGAGAAGCGCCCTGCCGCGGGGTCTGCCCTCAAGGGGTCCCCCTCTCCTGGCTCAAGCCAGTCTGGACTCCAGATTTTCCGAGAACAATCAACGAAGAATAAAACAGACTTTGATCCGGTGAAGCCCGGCGAGGAGAAGGAAGACATTGCTCTAGCGGCACGAGGAAGCAGGGCTTCTTTCTAGTCTATGAGGCTGATGGCGCAGCTTATGGGAGAATCAGAACGTATTTTTATCTACCAACAAACTGAAGATATTCTAGAAATTGGTTGAGTGAAAGTAAAATAGAGAAAACTACGAAATCACAGAAGTGACTCCCATCTCATAAAAATCTTTAAAACTTGCCTTCTTCAAAATTCCTCATGTTGTGAAAAAGGCGGTCAACCCCATTAACAGATTTTTTTCCTTTTATTGGATTTCAAATCAATGAATGCCTGACCACTTTGTCCTTTATCTAAAAAAAAGTATAAAATGACAGGATATAAGGCTAGAAAATCAAGAAGCAGTGCATCGTTTAGGATATTCGGGATGAAAAAAATAACTACACTTTTTTCTATGACGGTTGTTTGCACGCTTACCTTGATATTTGCTGGCTGTTTCTTTGGGAGAAAGGAATTCTAATGTGTTAGCTTTCTTTCTTTTTTTTTTTTTCCTTGATCCGGACTCGAGAGGGATTTATCAGTATTAACATTTTCTATGTTTTGCTTTTGTTGACTCTTCTTTATTTTAGGGTTACTTTTCTAAGTGTTATGGGGAGATAATAGAGCATCCCCTAAAAGTAGATTAAGAAATAAGCTCAATTCTTTAAAAACCTCAAAGCTGGTGGTTGAAAGAGACAGCAGTCCTGATCTGGCCCACAGCCTGTCCCTCACCTCTCCACCAGTTGGGGGGGCCCTCTCTAGAGACATTACTGGGGATGTGTCCGGCCCTCTTTGAATACCTACAGTGCCAGGAGCTTACTTTTTCAAAAATCTATTCTGGTTAGGCAACAGTTGTTAGAAAGCTTTTCCTTCTGCTTTGTGGAAGTCTGTTTGCCTGCACTTCCATCTCTCCTCTGCATTCTGCCCTCTGGGGGTGCTGAGACTATGCCTGTGCCCCCTCCTCCTGGCAGGTCTTCAAATGCATGGAAATAGTTATGGGTGTTCTCACTTAAGACTTCTTTTCTCCAGTAATGTGTAGTCAGATTGAAAATAGACAGGTACAAACCTGCTCAGTGGTATCTTTAGTGGGTAAGGAGAGGTTAGGATGATGGGGAAATGGTCCTAAAAAAAAGTTTTGTTTTGTTTTGTTTTTTAGTTTTTACCAAAATATAACAGTGTTTTTAAAAATGTACGAATCATAAGTACACAGCTTGATCAATTTTTACAAAAATTGTAGGAGGCAGCACCCCAGGACAAGACCAAGCTACCTACTCTCAACACTCCACTTCGCATGAGACTGACCGGCTCTTTTATGGATAGAGGAAGACAGAAAAAGAAATAAAGATATAAAGATCATAAAGGAAAAAGCAAAACTCTCCTCATTTGTAGTCAGTATGATTAGCTTTATGGGGAACAGAAGAATCTAGAGACAAATTATTAGAATTAATAAGAGAGTTTTGTAAGGTTGTTTTATAGAAAATCTGCATGTCAATTGCATTTCTGAATGTCAACAACATTCCAAAGTCATCTGTGGATTTAATACTCGAAAAAAAGATCTTTTTCGGAGATCTGACAAACTTGTTCTAAACCTTATGTGAAAGAATAGCCAAAAGACTCCTGAAGAACAAGGTGTATAGATTCACTCTATCAGATATCAATAGTAATTAAAATAGCGTGCACAGCTAGACCACCGCACAAGAGTAGAGAGCCCAGGAACACACTACACACATGTGGATTTTTGATTTATGAGACAGGGCATTGCAGAGGGATGGGGAGAGATGTGGAATGGAAATGATAGGTTATCCATTTGGGGAAAAATAAAGGAAATTGAATAATGCACACACATACCAAGTTCCAGTGGATTAAATGTTTAAATGTGTATGTGTATACATATGCATAGATAGATAGGTAATGGAGAATAACTTTATGATCATAACTTAGAGCAGAATTTTATTTTTATTGAAGTACAATTGATGCACATGGAGAATTTTTTATTTTTTAAAACTTATTTAAATTCAATTAATTAACATATAGCCATATTATTAGTTTCAGAGGTAGAGTCTGGTGATTGATTAGTTGCATATAACACTCAGGGCTTGTTACATCAGTGCCCTCCTTAATGCCCATCACACAGTTACTCATCCCCCTACCCTGGAGCAGAATTTCTTTTTATTTATTTATTTATTTATTTATTTATTTATTTATTTATGATAGTCACAGAGAGAGAGAGAGGCAGAGACACAGGCAGAGGGAGAAGCAGGCTCCATGCACCGGGAGCCCGATGTGGGACTCAATCCCGGGTCTCCAGGATCACGCCCCGGGCCAAAGGCAGGCGCCAAACCGCTGCGCCACCCAGGGATCCCCTGGAGCAGAATTTCTTAGGACACAAAGAACAAATCACACACACATACACACACAAAAAAATTTATAAATCTGTCTATGGAAAAATTAAGAATGACCATTTATCAAAAGACACAGTAAGGAGAATGACAAACTAAATCATAAATTGAGAGAAATTTTGCAACACATTTGGCATATAAATGATCAGAATTCAGATGACATAAAGAATTCAAATGTCAGAAAAAGAAACATATTTTTGAAAAATGGCAAAAGACATGAACAGGCATTTTCCAGAAGAGAAAACATGAATGACCATCAACATATAAAAAGATGCTCAATCTCATTAGTAAACAGGGAAATGCAAATTAAAATGATAATGAAATTCCTTTTTTTAATTAATTAATTAATTTATTTATTTATGATAGTCACACACACAGAGAGAGAGAGAGAGAGGCAGAGACACAGGCAGAGGGAGAAGCGGGCTCCATGCACCAGGAGCCCGACGTGGGATTTGATCCCGGGTCTCCAGGATCACACCCTGGGCCAAAGGCAGGGGCCAAACCACTGCACCACCCAGGGATCCCTGATAATGAAATTCTATTTCATGTTTACCAGACTGCCAAAATTAAAAGGTTTGCCAATCCTGCTAAGTGTCGCTTTGGATGTAAGAACAATAAATTAATGCATTGCTAATAGGTGTAGAGATGGATTCAAACATTTTGGGAAAGAGTTGGATTTTATCTGGTAAAATTAGACATGCACATATTGAATAAGCCAGAAACTCCAACTTTTTAAATTTAGAAAAAGTGTTGCACTTTTGCCCCTAGAATTACAGGCAAGAATATTCACAGTAGCATCATTCATCTGAATGATGAATCTGAATACAACTGGAAAAAAAAAATCTGAATCCAACGGAATGCCCATCCATAACCCATTGGATTAATATATTGTGATAAATGCATCCAGTGGAAATGAGTGGCCCACACATTAACAAAGGTAAATCTCAAAAACATATTGTTGAATGAAAAAAAAAGCAAATTACAAGGACGCCTGGGTGGCTCAGCCGTTGAGCTGTTGAGCGTCTGCAGTTGGCCCAGGGCGTGATCCTGGAGTCCTGGGATCAAGTCCCGCATAGGGATCCCTGAGTGGAGCCTGCTTCTCTCTCTGCCAATGTCTCTGCCTCTCTCTGTGTGTCTCTCATGAATAAATAAATATTTTTTTAAAAAAGCAAGTTACAGAAGAATTGTGCTATAAGATTCAAATTATTATTAAAAATGAATCAAAGTAGGGACGCCTGGGTGGCTCAGTGGTTGAACTTCTGCCTTCGGCTCAGGGCGTGATCCTGGAGTCCAGGGATCGAGTCCCACATTGGGCTCCCCACAGGGAGCCTCCTTCTCCCTCTGCCTATGTCTCTGCCTC